GCACGTGTGCAGACGCGCAGTTGATCATCGAGCCCGCATACGCATATAACCCGCAGACGCATATAACCCGCATACGCATATAACCCGCATACGCATATAACCCGCATACGCATATAACCCGCATACGCATATAACCCGCATACGCATATGACCCGCATACGCATATGACCCGCAAAAATAGCGTTTTGTGTAAAACAAATTTCAGATAGCCCGCACCTCCATATACCCCGCATGCATTCATATCTTTAACGTCGTTACCGCAGCTTAATTCCATCATATTAATACGAAGTTTACATTTGTAATACATTCCACTATCAATTGTTAACATTAAAATCATAAAAAAACACAAAGAAAACAAACTATCCGGAAACGAGTGAACTTAAAACAGTAAATAAGTAACAAAAGTAAATATCCAATAAATAAGTAACACATAACTGGTCGATTAGTAAGTACTGTACAGTTTTAGCACTGGTAGATTGCGCACTGCGCAGATTATAGCGGCACTACGGTGACGCCGTTGCCACGCCCCCAACCCCCACCTCTCTCTCCCCCCAGTTGCCCCACCCCCCAACCCCCACCTCTCTCTCCCCAGCTGCCCCACCCCCCAACCCCCACCTCTCTCTCCCCCCAGCTGCCCCACCCCCCAACCCCCACCTCTCTCTCCCCCCAGCTGCCCACCCCCAACCCCCACCTCTCTCTCCCCCCAGCTGCCCCACCCCCCACCTCTCTCCCCCCAGCTGCCCCAACCCCCACCTCTCCCTCCCCCTAGCTGCCCCACCCCCCAACCCCCACCTCTCTCCCCCCCCCAGCTGCCCCACCCCCCAACCCCCACCTCTCTCTTCCCCCAGCTGCCCCACCCCCAACCCCCACCTCTCCCTCCCCCCAGCTGCCCCACCCCCCAACCCCCACCACTCTCCCCCCAGCTGCCCCACCCCCCAACCCCCACCTCTCTCTCCCCCCAGCTGCCCCACCCCCCAACCCCCACCTCTCTCTCCCCCCAGCTGCCCACCCCCAACCCCCACCTCTCTCTCCCCCCAGCTGCCCCACCCCCCACCTCTCTCCCCCCAGCTGCCCCAACCCCCACCTCTCCCTCCCCCCAGCTGCCCCACCCCCCAACCCCCACCTCTCTCCCCCCCCCAGCTGCCCCACCCCCCAACCCCCACCTCTCTCTCCCCCCAGCTGCCCCACCCCCAACCCCCACCTCCCCCCAGCTGCCCCACCCCCCAACCCCCACCACTCTCCCCCCAGCTGCCCCACCCCCCAACCCCCACCTCTCTCTCCCCCCAGCTGCCCCACCCCCCAACCCCCACCTCTCTCTCCCCCCAGCTCTCCCGTTGTGCGCGCACTTCAAACATTTTCGGTTAATTGCACGAACAATTCGAATAATTTAAATCGTGATAACGTGGCCAATTTTAGTGCGAGTGGTTTATTCAGCAGTGCTTTAGTCAAAGGTAAGTGTTGCATAGTGTAGAGTCCTACCATGAAAAAATATAAACGAGTCATGACATGTCACACGTGTAAGACATTTTTGGGATAGCCCGCACCTCCATATACCCCGCAGGGTCTTGTGTGTAAAAAGTGGTATACCCCGCGGGTTATATGCGGGAAAATCTCTCCAAAAGGCCGTGAAGCAGTCCGGCCACCGGCAGCACGTGGGTCACTAGACACAACATCGGAGTCGTAGCTACGGTTGATCTCAGCGTCAAATATAGTATTATCGATGGTACATTATACACTACATGCAAATTAATGACAATACCGCACGCATATATATACGTACATTTTTTACGACTGATATCTACAGTATATTCTTGGTTCTTTCGGTAAAGTCACGTAGAAGGGAAACAATAAAAATATTTTGTTTTATATTTTTATTATTTTATCGTTTCCCTTCACGTGACTTTACCGAAAGAACCAAGAATATGAATCCCTGCAGTCACGAAAGCTTTAAATAAAAATTTTTATATCTACAGTAATAAGAACATTGTTGTTTTTTTAAGACTATAGATAAGCATTGCGGTTCCGGAGAAAAAAGCTTTGTTCCAATTCGGGGTTCGCTGGAACACCGCCTCTATCGGATGCATCAGTCCTGCGATTGTCAAACACAAGTTGTTGTTGTTATTGTTGTTGTTATTGACACAAGAGCGTAGTCGTAGTAGTAACTACGTCCATCATCACCCCGTGCACAGTCTTCGACGTTGATGTGCGAAGTAACGGTCCAGTGAATACGGTTACACTTTTTTTACGGTAGGATATTTATTTTTAAACGCGAACAAAAACACACAAGCAACACCTAAAAAAACACGTGTAATGCGAAAATAAACTATTTAAAATTGTGATTTAGTGATTATCGGGCGTTTTTTAAAAATCCAGCCCGCCCTCTTCCCCTCCCCAGATAATCGATGATCTCTGTCAGTACCAAAGACTGCCATCCGCCTTGTTGTAGCCTACGCAGCCTGTTGGGGTAAGTGTTGTTAACGAGCTAACACACACACACGTAACACACACCCGTAACACACACCCGCAACACACAGACACAGCCGCAACACACACACAACAACCGCCATTCGCCACTAAGTGGCGGTGACGTCACCACGACGCTTGTGCCAGGCTATGTGCACCTTGAGGCCACGTGAAGTGTCGAACGCCCGCGGGCAGGTCACGGGGCAGACCCAGCAGGTGCCACGGGTCGACTGACTGAGATGACTGGCTGGTGCACCACCTGTGCCCCCTACTGTGCCAACCTGCTGTGCTTTAGCCACCCGGTGCTCCGCTCGTTGTTGTGAGCGTCGCTCCTCCGCCCTCCGTTGTTGTTGGAGGGCGACTGCCTCCAACTGCCCAGTAGCGTCCTTCACGAGCCTCCTCCACAGAGGCCGATCTTGACACCGCTGGTACCAGTCATCGGCAAGTCCACTCAGCTCCACGTCCTCCTGTACCACATCACTCCATCTCTTCTCTAGCCCGTGCCGCGCCCGCTTAGCCCCCTCGATCCGGCCGAACAAAAGCTGTTTCGGCATGCGGTGGCTGGGCACACGTACACGTGCACACACACACGCGCAACACACACACACACCCGTAACACACACACACCCGCAACACACACACACACGTGCACACACACACACCCGCAACACACACACACGTAACACACACACACCCGTAACACACACACACACCCGCAACACACACACACACCCGCAACACACACACACGTACACACACGTGCACACACACACCCGCAACACACACACACGTACACACACGTGCACACACACACCCGCAACACACACACGCAACACACACCCGCAACACACACACACGTAACACACACACACACCTGTAACACACACACACACCCGCAACACACACACACACCCGCAACACACACACACACGTACACACACGTGCACACACACACCCGCAACACACACACACGTACACACACGTGCACACACACACCCGCAACACACACACGCAACACACACCCGCAACACACACACACGTACACACACAGCCGTACACACAGAAGGATTTTCACACTCACATGAGTACAAAGATCCCCCGTACAGCCTTAACAGACTGTAGGGGCAAGTGCGGTGAGCGAGTCGCACCTACGAAGACCGCCACAGCACATGACGAGGTGGGGGGGGGGCTGGTGACCAAACACCTTTTGAGGCTGAGGGGGGCGCTCACTTGAGGCTCTGCTAGGTCGACTCAGCCTCAAATGAGTGCCTGGTGCAGTGTTGCAGTAAAACATCGCAGGGCAAAGGTCGTCGGGCGTGGTTCGGGCCACCGACCCCCTCGAGTTGACCCCTAGGGGGGCCATCCGCTCAGCACGTACGCGTGGAGGGGGGCAGGGGGGGTAACCCAAATGCGACCTGGGGGGGTCCCAGGACCGGTTCAGGTAATCGTCATTGTGGTGGTGGTGGTGTTGGTAATCGTCACTGTGGTGGTGGTGGTAATCGTCACTGTGGTGGTGGTGGTGTTGGTAATCGTCACTGTGGTGGTGGTGTTGGTAATCGTCACTGTGGTGGTGTTGGTAATCGTCACTGTGGTGGTGGTGTTGGTAATCGTCACTGTGGTGGTGGTGTTGGTAATCGTCACTGTGGTGGTGGTGGTGTTGGTAATCGTCACTGTGGTGGTGGTGGCCGTGAGCGGGAATCGAACTCGGGTTGCCAGGTTCGTAGCGCAGCGTAGGGCTAACCACTACACTACCGCTCCCCACAACACAACACGCACAACACACACCACAACATGCACACACACCACAACACGCACACCACAACATGCACACACAACACACACAACATGCACACACACAACACACCACAACACGCACACCACAACACGCATACCACAACATGCACACACAACACACACCACAACACGCACACACACACAACACACACCACAACATGCACACACACCACAACACGCACACATACACAACACACACACACCACAACATGCACACACACACAACACAACACGCACACACATCACCACAACACGCACATCACAACGCACACCACAACACGCACACCACAACGCACACACACAACACGCACACACATCACCACGACACGCACACACATCACAACACGCACATCACAACGCACACCACAACGCACACACGCACACACATCACGACACGCACACCACAACGCACACACATCACCACGACACGCACACACATCACCACAACACGCACACACATCACCACGACACGCACACACACACCACAACGCACAGACACAACACACACCACAACACGCACACAACGTCTGAACTAACGCGGTTATTTTGCTGTTGATCCGGGTCGTGGTTGGGAGAGAGTTTGTTAGAGAGGGCGAGGTCCGTGTGTCCGTGTGTGTGGCTGTGTCTTCGTGTGTGTGTCCGTGTGTGTGTCTGTGTGTTCGTGTGTGTGTCCGTGTCTGTGTGTGTATGTTCATGTGTGTGTCTGTGTGTGTGTTCGTGTGTGTGTCTGTGTGTTCGTGTGTCCGTGTGTGTGTCTGTCCGTGTGTCCGTGTGTCTGTGTGTGTCCGTGTGTGTGGCGTTTCGAGGCGGCGCGTTTCCTCTGGAAACTTGGCGAATCGCCTTACCAACAACCTCAACTCGCTACAATTCATCATCAACACTCTGACGCATCGGGCATCGTGAACGCACGCCCCCTCGCTCACTACGAAACGGGGGCCCGCTCGCTATAAATGCCGCCTCCCCGGTAATCGACACGTCTCCCGAGACGTCTTTCGAGACGTTGTTTGTCTCTCTCTCGAGACGTTGTTTATATATCTCTCTCTCTCGAGACGTTGTTTATATATCTCTCTCTCTCGAGGCGTGTGACTAAAAGTGCACAACGCGGCCTTTAATCGTCGATTTGCTGCTGCTACTGCTGCGTCTTGCCCCAGCAGCGAGCGGGATCGCGTGCGCCCCTTCTCCACGAGCCACGCTCGAGAGACGAACTCTCCGTGTCTCTCTCTCTTTCCTCTCGTTGTTGTGTGTGAAGTGTGAATTATCGACGCGTCTTTTAAACTGCTAAACGTTGACGTCTTTTTCTAGAGTTAACTTGTGCCAGCCTGCTTCGGGGTTATTAGCAAAGTTCGTTAGGGAGGTGATCTTGAACCTTTAAAGATCCCCAAAGCAGCACCACGCAAGGAGCGTCGTGAACGAGGTGTGTCTCTCTCCCTTTGAGCTCCGTGTTTCATCGGCGTCATGAACAGGTAAGTGAAGCCGCGTGGGATGGTTGATGGTGGTTGTTCAGTGTGATCGATAATGTAGCAGTAGCGCGCGGTCTAAGCACTCGGCAGCGCATTCGTTGCGGATGTTCACGGTTCGAATCCAGCGCCCGCCCTGGTTATTATTGCTGCTGCGGTGTGCGATGGATGATGGTGGTTGTTCAGTGTGATCGAGAATGCAGCAGTAGCGCGCGGTCTAAGCACTCGGCAGCGCATTCGTTGCGGATGTTCACGGTTCGAATCCAGCGCCCGCCCTGGTTATTATTGCTGCTGCGGGTTGTGTAATTTTCAGTGAAACCACGCGGCGTCTGCTTCACCGAGGATGTTAAAGATTCCTGTAAAGGATGTTGGTGGGCAGTGTATATGTGTATTGATGATGGTGGTGGTGGTGTTGTTGGATTCAAAGTAATAGAATTGTGGTGGTTGATGCGAGGGTCCAAATTCTTAGAAATATTCGCAAATGACTTGAATTTGGAGCATAACGTAGAATAATGCCGCAGGCCTCTTTTGCAAAAGAGACGTACGGTATCTTGAGTTCTCACCCGCTTACACTAAATAAACATTACAGATTGGGAGGGAGGGGGGCTTTAAAGCCTCGTCTCCACTGTGCTTAATTAAAGGCGTGCACAGCGCCCCAGTGTTACGATGTACAGAATTCATGTTCGATTATAGCATTGATCATTGACAAAATCTCCGTAATTTGTGTTGCAGCTTCGCGATGTCTGCTCTCTAGACACATCACACGAGCGCAGCTCTGGGGAAAATACCGACGACACAAACATAGCCTACTGGGCACAAGATTTAAACACACTAAGTAAAACGGACGTCATTCTAAGTAAATATTACACGTTGCAGATAGAGAGCTCAATCTGTAAAGTTACTCATCCAGAAAACACACGCATATAACTCCATAATTAATAAAGCTACTTTACAGATACAAGAAAAAACGAGCAGATAACTTAATATACTGTGCTACATAACATAGTTACCACACGTGCACCCATCATATACATAATTACACACATACACATGACATATAACGTACACACATTGCACGTAAGTTCAACACATTTGGTCTAGGATATACAAGTCACACACCACCAAACTACAGTATATACTTGCATAAAAGCCAAACACAAACTACGTATCTACAAATTATACGAGCACATTACACACACAATTATTATACAATACACATAAAAGGTTACATCAAAGTCCACATTGTATATTCTCTGCAAATATAATTGGCGAGTGGTTTACACACAAGAGGCATTACACAAGTTTGAAGCTCCCACCCCCGTTTAGCCCTAGGGCAGTGTTAAGTGCTGTTAGCGAGCACCTAATACTGTCAACTTCCTCATTAAGGTCAGCTAACACATATACATACGTACATACACACCCTCAGCAACCATGCCCTCTCTTGCCACCACATCGTCTCGGCTGCCGTTGCCGATGGCCCTGCTGATGCTACTGCTGACCGTGCTATCCGACGCTCAAAAGACACCACGGAGCAAAGTCTCCGCCAAATCAACGCAATTTTCCGTCGACCTGTATCGCGCGGTCGGTGGCACGGCCATGCGGGGCAACGTGGCGATGTGCCCCATGGGCTTGGAGCCGTTGCTGGGCAGCCTGCAACTGGGAGCCAGGGGCAACACGCGGCGAGAGATGGAGAAGGTCATCGGGACCAGCGCGAAGGGTGAGCAATGCTTGGCTGGTGTTGGTGCTGGAATCTCTGTAATACCGGGCAATTAATTTGGCAGCGTTTGTCTAAACGAGACAAGACCCTGCTGCTGCTGCTGCTGAGACTCGGAAAACGACGCTGGGCAATTTACAAGCAACAGAGCCACACTCGTACACACAACCTACGCAGATACACAACTCCACACACCACACATACATACACACACGGACACAAGAAGACACAAATACTCGGCAAATAAACACAAAGTCACCTCAGCCCTGGCCGTGTCCCAAACAAACTCTCGCACACCCAGGTCTCCGGCCCATGCGGCTGCCAAGCTCCCTTCGCTCTCCACTCCTCACCCGAGCCTTGGCACTCTTCATACACGGGGGCGGTGTGGCCCAAGAAGTCAGCGCGGGCCGGGTGGCCGGTGCGGGCCGGGTGGCTGGAGCGGGCCGGGTGGCCGGAGCGGGCCGGGTGGCCGGAGCGGGCCGGGTGGCCGGAGCGGGCCGGGTGGCCGGAGCGGGCCGGGTGGCCGGCGCTGGCAGCAGGTCGGAGCTGCGCGCATTCGCTGGCCGCTCGGCGGCCGTATTTGGCACGGAGACTCGACCCCTGCGCTCGGACGGGGGCGAGGCTGCAGCCAGACAGGTCAACGCGTGGGTGCTCAACCACACGCACGGTGAGGGGCGGGGACGTGTGGTGGTTGTGCGGTGGTGGTGTGTGAGCAGCTGTGGTTCGCGCACCGAACTACGAACCCAGCGACCGGAGTTCCATTCTCGTGGCCAACATCGGTGATGAATGCCTTAACTGGTCCTGGGCCTCCCTTAGGTCGACCCAGCTTTAAATGAACACCACCACTGGGAGATAAAGGCGGCTGAGAGTGGCCCTGGCCACACAACCGCTTTGTTGGCCTTTTATAGGTGCTAGCTAACAGCACTTGCCCCAACAGCCTGTGTAGTTAACACGGATGATATTTTTTTTGTATTTTTGGTCTGTAATTACACCGGCTTCTCAAGTGTCGTCAGCTGATTAATCTTGACCCGGTCATCAATGACTGGACAGAAAAAGAATTGTATTTAATTTGGTTCTGCACTTAATTTGCCATAATTCTAGCTCTGCCAGTTAAAGATATCGTTTTTACTGTAATGGAATGGTTATTAATCTCAGTAGCAGGGCAGGTGGGAAAGTGTTGCCCCTTGTGGAACAGAGGTCACTTGAAGGTATCTCAGAAGTAGCTCTGTGATATCCGCTTTTGTGGGTCATTCTCTAGCGCAAAGGCTTGAACTGCTGAGATATCCAAATGGAATCTCTATCTCATGCAAAGATGCCAATAGAAATATCAGGATAAAATTGGGAGGAAAGTATTTTTAAAAACTAGCCTCAGCAACACATTATAGAGATCCTTGTGACGGTGTTGCCCACGGGGATACAGTACATCCTGGCAATATCGGGATAATTCAGGCCGGGTGCCCTGGTATATCCGTTTTGTTAACAAACGCCCATTTTTTTCTATGAAGACTAAACTTAATCCATTTACATTGTTACTTATATGGCTATTAATGTCATAAAAATCTACAACTCAATAAAAAAAGCTAAAAAAATACCACCAAAACCACTGATAATCGCAAACCAATTTTGGAATGAACAATCCATGTGCTACAGTAGTTGCACATGACGTAGTGATGCTGCTGCTTCTGCGTTGGCAGTGGTGCATTTGCACAAATAATGGGAAAAAACTCCACATTCACTTTACCTCTGGCCCTCTCACTCTACGTGCTCTCGAAGAAGGACCATTGCACAAAACATCGCCTATTAAAACATCGCCTATTATACATTTTTGAAGGCCACAGAGTTGACAAATGTGTTGAGTTTGTTGTAGCTGTGAAGGAGACCATGTACTCCAACGACACAAAAAAAATATTTTACCAGGTTTAGGCCCACTGAGCCATATAGCTCTCTTTCAGAAACGACCTGGCCATAAACAATAGTCCAACAAAGTGGCTTATCACGATGGTAATCATCTTGCCGGTGTCCCGAGGGCAGGTGCCGTGAAGGATTTCCTCTCCCCGGATCAGCTGCCCCCGGGCCTCACTCGCCTCGTGCTGGTGAGCGCCGTGGTTCTGCGCGCCGTCTGGCTGTCGCCCTTCGACCCCGCGCACACCAACCCGCGACCCTTCACCCCACCGGGGCGGCCCGTGAAGATGGTACCGGCGATGCAACGCACGGGCGTCTACAGATACGGTGAGAGGGAAGCGATGGCGAGGTGTTAACTACCTCGCCTGGTATACAGGTCGTGGGTTCGATTCTGACCCCGATGCCTGTATATTTGGAGTTTGCATGGATTTTTCTCTGGGTCCTCCGGTTTTTCCCCCCACATTTAGAATCGACGTGCGTTCAGAGTATTTGGCTGCGTTACATTTCCATGTGATAAGCCACTTCGTTGAGCTATCATGTGGCCAGGTCGCTTCTGAAATAAGTACATAGCTCAGTGGGCCTGGTAAAATAAACGAGTTTTATTCGTGCAGAGTTCGTTGTAAACAATGGCACGCCGTTCTTCCTATATATGCGTTCATCAATAATACTCCATGCCAAACCATAAGTAACTTGATCCTGATGTGTTTGTGCGTTTGGCCACGTGGTAATAACAAGTTTGCGTTCGGTATTGCTTTTTTGCGTTAAACGAGGTGCCATAGTTTATATGCATTGCCCTTGCCAATAACATCTGGTAATCGAGCAGAAATTGTTTAACAAGCCTGACTTGATGAGAAGCAAAGGTTTAAACTGGTCCACAATTCGCTTGATTAATCAAATGCTGCCTGATAATGTTATAACAATGAGTTTGTGTACGGTCTAACTTACATGGATCAATTTAAAGCATCATGTCACCCTCATGATTTTCACAAATGCTGATTCTCATGTGCATCTGCTGACAGTTGTCAGGTTTCAGTTTTTCAATTTCATTTATTAGGTATAACCCTGTGAGCCATGCGGCTCACGGGGTTATCCGTGTTGTGGATGAACCGTTCTCAGTCACGCCTTGTACGCGTGCAATGATGTAATTAGCGGCTCCTCACTCACCAAGGGCCAGTGACTCGGTGCCCACATGACCACAAACAATAACTTTAAAGAGACAATAAAAACAGACTCCCATTACCAGGCTGCTGCTACGTGCACCTTGTGCTGCACAGGGAGTGCTGCCCCTGTGGGAGAACTGCCCCTGTGGTCCCCTTAGTTAGACTCTAGTAGGGAATCGGAATTGTTGAAATGAGATGTGATGTAAGGTGCTATAAGTTGCTGAGGCATTTAAGCAATAGCGATATAATGACAATTCCGTGTTTGCTCTGGGCTGCCCCTCCAGCCCCATTACATCAGATAATTGGGTCGACTGTATTATGGCTACGACGATCAGGATCATGAGGGCAATGACTTCTCTCTTCTGTTTGCCCATACACAGGTGAATTTGCACTGCCCGACGGTAACTTTTACGAAGTTTTGGAGATCCCTTACGCTGATGGGCATACCGTAATGTGGGTGGCCCTACCACCTCCGGACAAAGATGGTTCAGCTCTGGCGGCACTGGAGAACAGCCTGACAGGACGTACCATTGTCGAGTGGGAGGGACAGAGCAGATCAACCCGCCTTACCCTGCAGTTGCCCAGGTGAGGACGTGTGTAAAATGGAGTCAACCATCCATGTATAACTACTGGGCATGTAAATCTTGACTTAAAGCTTTCGTGACTGCAGGAATTCATATTCTTGGGTCTTTCGGTAAGGTCACGTAGAGAGGTTCAAAGAAAATAACAAAAAAACTACGACGTTTCGATCGCAACACGAGCGGTCGTCTTCAGGAAAAGGGGGGTTAGCTTCCAAGGCAAACTGTTCATAAGGGTTTGAAATGGGCGTAGCCCAAATGCTAGCAGCCAATGATAATGTAAGTGGTGGGCAGCCAACCCGACGGTGGTTGGTTTTCCACCAATCAAAAGGCTGCCAGGTGAAAATTAGCATGTTAATGAGAGATTAGCATGTTAATGGGAATCGCAGAGCCGCAACCAAGGGGTCGGCGTGCGAAGTGACTGTGAAAGTGCAAGTTTGAAGTGGGCGTAAAGCACAACTAACATCGGAAGGTGGGTAGGATGGGAACATCATAGACAATTATGACTTAAACTGGTTGATAACGTCCTTCCAATGATTGCTCAGTTTGTATCCATCCTCCCGGTTGAAATTGTGTCTGTGTCTATATATATGGATGGCTTCATGAACGAATATTTGTTGATAGCCAGTGGGCTTGCAAAGTACCTTAATCTGAGAGAAATCAATTTCGTGTGAGCCTACCGCATTAAAACAATGATCAGCCACGGCCAAGGTATTGGCCCTCCCGTGTTTCAGATCTGCCATATGTTCACGAGCACGGTCCAAGACATGTCTCTTAGTTTCCTCAATGTAACTACTGCCGCAGACACAGCTTAGTTTGTAGACGCCGGGGTATTGCATGTCAGGGATCACATCCTTCACAGATGGGATCATATAACGAATTTTATGTACTATGTTAAATCGAACCTGGATCTTGTGTTTGCTCATGATTTTGGAAATATTTTGAGTGACCCCTGTTATGTGTGACAAGGTGATGGTTTTGATTGGGTCCTCAGATGGTTATTTTCCAACGGTTGGGGTGATAGCTTTACGGATTGTGTAGCCTGAATATCCATTCATCTTGAGGGCTTGGTGTACGTGTTCCAGTTCACTAGCTAAGTGATGACGGTCGGAAATACATTGAGCTCTCTCGTGTAGAGTTTTGATGAGGGAATTCTTCTGGGATGGATGGTGGTGGGAGTCAGGTTTTAGGTAGGCATCCGTATGGGTGGCTTTCCTGTAGACAGTGTCCCATTGAGCCATCTGGTCTCTTTTCGATTAAAGTTGATGGGGTTGATGAATTGGTTCAGAGCTGGTCGGCCATGTGGCCAGATGACGAACGTGTCATCTACGTACCTCTTCCACAAGATCTTCTGAACCACATCAATTTAGAGAAAATATGCAGGATAAAGACGTAATTAAAACTTTTAGATAAGTGTGCTCAGGCAGATAATGTCGTTATAATGGAGTGACAGTCAATGAATAGAACTCATTCGAGAGGACATCAACCAAGAAGATGAAGTGGTGACATCAGGTCGTGTGCAGGTGCTGGATGGATTGTTATGTCGCTGGACAATGACAGATGGTGACGTTGTGGGGAGACCCTCATCCAGAAGTGGATTGAACGTGACGGATGACGGTGATGATATTACTCACGATTATATTGAGGATAATGCAGCAAGCAATACTCTACAGAAAGGGAATTTTTATTTTATTTTATTGTTGATTAGTGAAACGATTAATCGTTCGTGCATTGTAGCTATGTAACGTGATCAAAGGTGGCCGGGTGGCTCAGAGGGTAGACAATTGAGCTGACACTACTGGCATCCTGGGTTTTGAATCCAGGCAGCTGCCTGTGATTAAGCCTGGTCGTCAAGCGAAGTAAATCAATGGTCTTAACTTAATCACCAATGATTACACACAAAAAAACACCGTAAGGTAAAATTTTGTTCTGTATTTACTTTTAGTTGTGAACATGTTGAGTGTTTCTTTTGGCAAATTCGTGGGCCAGAAAATATTCTCTTGAAGGAAATCAATGACTTATATGTTACCTGGAACACAACAGAAATGAGTGCAGCACCATTGTTGCACTGTACTTCCTATGTTCCCAAGTCCATACTCCTCACCATCACAACCCACAATGACCAGCATGGTGAAGTATTATTACACAACTCTCCCAAAACGACACACAACGTGGGGAGACCCTCATCCGGTAATAGACTGACAATATGGTTATACATGTACATATGCCCTGCAGATAGTACTTGTGTGTGTGCGCGTGCATGCTGACCTGCACCCGTATGTTTGTCCATGTATCAGGTTCACAGTGGAGAGCAAGCTGGAACTAAAGCCCGCACTGCAGTCCCTGGGTCTCAGGGAAATGTTTGACGAGCGAAGAGCCAACTTCAAGGGCATCACGGGTGAGAGGGCAGCAGTGGATCAACTCACACCCTTTTTTACACCTCCACAGCTTTGGATATGGCGTTTCCTCCCTCTGCCTATGGGCCACTTTGAAGGAATGTACATGCAGAGGCCTTATAAATAAAAAAAAATACACCAGGCACAGCATTGAAAAAATAATGCAATAAAGTATTGAAAACTGTGAGCATCAGTGGCCAACTGCATAAAACACCTGTAGTGAAAATTTCCCTTCTTTGTATGTTGAACTTCTTTCACACCGTTCTTAGCCAACTGTGTTATTCGGAGGTGACACTGATTTACATTTTATATGCAATTGACCCCAGAGCTTCATTTCCTATTTGTGTTTTTTCTCGGGTAAGCTGCTACGCTGGCTTGGACTTAGGAATTATATTATCGGCGTAATGCACCACTACTAGCATACATGTTATGGCTATCCTTAATAATCCTATATTATTGTACTCTATATCCTGAAAATTCTATGTCCAGCTTTACACGAATTATGAGGACAAAATAAGGCAGGATGGATGGTCGTGTGGCAAAATAATTCCTGGCGGACCGTTCCAGCTGAAATTAAGCACTGATGAGGGTTTAACCGGTCGATGAAGATAAAAAGCAGTTTGGCCGAGAACAGACATACACGGCTGTGCTTCCACATCAGCACGTCTTATGAGGCTCTGCGTACATGTATCCATGGTAACTGCCCCATCCCCACTGCCCTGTTTTTGTTCCGTGCAGCCCGGGAGCAGCTATACGTGTCGACAGTGCTGCAGCAGACGCGCGTAGAGGTGGACGAGAAGGGAACGCGAGCCGTCTCGGCCACAGGTAAACGTGTGCAACGAGAAGGACGAGTGACAGTGCAGTGTCCCAAACGTCTTTTTTATGTATGTACTGTATGTTGAACTTGTTTCGCACCATACGTAGCCAACCCGTGTTAATTGGAGGTGCGGGGAAAAAGTTACATGGGGAATATTTTGTGTGAAGTCATGCTAGACGCAATGTCTGGTGATACAACCATTACCTCCTCGTTGTGCCAGACGTTTACGCTGTGCTATGTTGGAGAGCGTTGCCATGGAGGGGAAAGCTAATTTCAGTCCGCTGATAACCCTGATGGTGAGCTCACATCCATGACATTGGCTAATGAGGGTGCTGGGTGGTTGCGAGTGGCTGGCAACTTCCCCCATTAAAAGTTAATAACTGGAGAACCATGCAAACAAAATGTAAACAAGCATGGGCATGAAGCCCTAAGCGACAGACATCTGTAATTTCCCCTGGCCAATCTCCAGTTGGTGGAGCCAGGGGACAAAACTTTCACGTTCTGAGTGCCTCCAGAAAAATGAAAATTCCTAACTGCTGATCTGTGTCTGATCGTGAGGCTCCTGTCACTACAAGGAATGCACAGATTTGTAATCGGGGCAACATAACATCAAACAGGGAGTGGCTTACTTTCATAAACAAATAAAAAACCCATTAAGGTCTGGGAGTATAGCATGGCAGTGAGGTGTGGAAGGCAATCGGTCCCAGGCTGTTGTAGGCTCGCCTCCCGAGCAATAGGTGAGGAATGGTGGTAGTGGTGGTTGCCTTTGTTCCCTCGAAAACAATCATCTGTGGAAGGAAGCAGGCAAGGCTGATGAGTCAGCCTTTAGCCAACACCTATACCAGGTGTTGGCTAAAGTTGCATCCCATGACTCTATATCCTATCGGGTTATGACAATAGCACGACCCAGCTCAGCCATCTGATTCAACACTGGACATTTCAAGTCATGACTCTGTTCGTTGAAAAATATTTAAATTAAAGGCCTTCCTGAGTTGTTGTGTCTCGTGTGTGCTTGTGTGATGAAGGTGTAGTCGCCCTGTTACGATCCTTCATTCCCACCTTCGCCTGCGATCGGCCATTCCTCTTCATCATCACTCACAAACACACAGGTGAGTCATCACTGCTCAATCTATGAACCATCACTTATAAATTAGTGAACTATCAATGTTTTTTTCTTTACATTTTTTAATACATGTATTCATTTTCCCCAACTGTATTCCCATTGTGCTGTCAACGTGACATTGTAATGAAATAAAGACGTAATTTGGAACTCTTATAGCGAGCACTGCACCACCCTGTGCAAGAGAACTACCATGGAAGATGATGTCGCATAGCTGCTTATGATAACTTTGCTCAATTCAATAAACGCATGCCTTTTTTTAACTATTACTCCTTCAACGCCACTATTTTTTGCTGGCCACTTGGCATTTGGAGACTTTGGGAGTTGTGCATAGTAATTGTGGTGATAATTATATATTTATAACCGAGTGTGAATGTGCCTTCAGATTCCATCCTCTTCATGGGCCGCGTCACCGACCCATAGGACCTCGTCTCCCCCACGACTCTTAAGCGTCACCGTAGTTGCCGTGGCTCAACGAGTACGTGGCCTTTCACACCTAAAACGACGTTCATCAATTGTATTCTTTGCACTTAGAATGAAATGTAACGTTAGTGGCCGTGCACTAGGCATATAACGATTTGTCGATTTAAAGTCGATTCCTACGCTTACGATATGTGCATCGGATCGCGTGCGTGAGAATCGATGCGTTATGACTTGTAAAATCTGTATGCATATTATATGCAAATGTGTTTAGGAAAATAAAACAAAATATATACAAACGAGGCAGACAATACGAAAGTGAAACAAAAAGAAAGAATACAGTATAAGGTTTATATAAGCACAACTTATATAAGTAAATTATTCATACATGCAACACATCCTTACATTATACTGGTGGGGGGCATTAAAGGGGTACTTCTGATACAAGCACACCATGGCTACAAGCACATGTGCTTTGTGCCAATGGCTGCGAATATATCCAACACCGACTGCATGTCGTATAGGGTAGACCCAGCAGTAAAACAAGACGAAGAATAGTCGATTGTTTCTTGGAATTGACTCCAAATTGTGACAATTGAGGGGAGCTTTAGAAAAACTTGATAACCCACGTAGATATATTTTGAAAACAGCAGGCTGCACGTCCTTTGGACCTCTCCCTCCTTCCAGCCAGCCACACTTTTTTCTACAGTATGAATAGCCATGTTAGCTTCATTGGAAGACTTTACAATCACCTGTTTGATAGTTTTAATAGCATCTGTCCACAGAATGCAAAACTATTAACTTAATTCACCCATTCCATCGACTGAATCCACCTACTCTTAACTTTTGTGCATGATTACGTTTTCCAGGACAGGAGAGGAGCTGAATATTAGTTAATTTGTAACTTTTACTTATATTTTATATTAAATACGCTATATATTTGTGGATGAAGTGAAACGTATAAACTGCATGGAATGTGAAATGCTTGCGAGTTCACATATTTTTTTAATCACCCCTTTTGAGTATGTCCAGATATTGACATCTGTAAGACAACATTGGGTTTCAGCGATTCACTTGTGGTTAAGTGCTCTTCACTATGAATCTGGCAACTAGAGTTTGATTTACGGGCACGGCTAACATCAGTGGCCATTGATACCTGATAACGATCCTGGAAGCTGCCTTCACCAATCCGTGCCGACCAGCGTGGCAAAGTTCAAACAACCCCCATGACCAATAGGGCGATGGGAGGCCCTCATCCAGTCGTGGGCAAAGAGGCCTGTAAACGAAGAGTTCAGTATAACAGTCATCAAACATTACTTTTAATATACTATGGACTTAATGATGTTATTGATGTTAGTTACTAATATACAAGTATCTTTGTAACACAGTTGTGGGATATTTTGTACTGCTTTTTAAAATAAATACTTCTACGTGACAACTCCACAATTCTATACATAGACCGTGGTCTGTGCACTGAATTCATAATCGGAAAATCACGAGCTTGAATCCCAGTCGGTGATGCATTCAGCTCTCTCATCCATTGAGGGTTGTGAAAATGACGACCATTCTTTGATAAGTTAACAGTGGTTGTTCCACGGATAGCCTGGTCTCTCCCATAATGGCTCAGAGCAAATACGAAGAGAAGGCAAAAGTAGCGGCAGACGGTGGAAGAGATGGCAGCGAGATGAACTCAAAAGGATTTGGTGGTCGCTACTGGACAAGAACTAAGGAAATAACTTAATGGGGAGGCCTTTGCGAAGCAGTGAGCAGCTACAGGCCGTGACAACTGCCCTACACTTGTTTGAGCAGGGAGATAATGTGAATGCAGTTGACTAACATCTAACAGGCTAGAGCAGTGGTTCTTAACCTTGTTGGAGGTACCGAACCCCACCAGTTTCATATGCGCATTCACCGAACCCCTATTTAGTGAAAAATAAAATGTGATTTTTTTCAAATTCAAGACATAGATATGTTTTTTACTGGTACACAAAATGAGCCGTGCATGAACATTACCTTGTTCAAAGAATAAAACCAACACAATGCATAAACTCACAACAAATTACATACCTGGAAATCAATGTGACTTCTGCTGTTGCCTTTGAGAGATCAGTTCAGATATGCGTGGCTTCACCTTGGCAAGTGCCACTCTCATGTCATTTTCACAGCAAAGTCTGTTCCTTTTCTTCGTTTTATGTCCAGCATCCTCGAAAAGGATTGCTCACAAAGATATGTTGTAACAAATGGTATAAAAAAAATCCAGGGCTTTCTTAGCAATAACTGGATACTTGTTCATTTGTCGACACCAAAACGTTGAGAGCGTTGTTGTTCTGAAGAGTTGCTGTTGAACCTGGCTCTGCTGAATTTCAATGATTTCGTCGAGGAATTCATCATTGACATCTGCTGTTTCAACAGCAAACGTGAACGGCTGTCTCACCCATGCTGGATATGACTCTCTTGTAGGGAAATATCCGTCGAGAGACTTTGCAAGCTCATCTAAGTGCGTGGCAATTGTTTGCTTCAGTTCCGTGGATACAGAAATATCTCCGATTCCAGACACATCTTCGATCTTACTTGCACAGTCGTCCAGAAGCGGGAAGTTTGCGAAGTTATTGTTCTCTGTTCGTCGTTTCCATAACGGTAGCTTTTTTTGAAAAGCCTTCAGGTGTTCTTCCGCTTCCATGATATTGACTCCACCACCCTGCATCTGCTGATTGAGATGATTGAGAGCTGCGAATATATCAGCCATGTACGCTAAAATGAGATTTTTGAAGCAATCTGCATGGCAGTGTTGGTGCTCTTGCAAAAACAGGGCTAATTCCACACGCATGGCAAAAACACGATTCAGCACCTGTCCCCGGGATAACCACCGAATATTAGAATGGAGCAGAAGTACCTCAAATTCAGAGCCCATTTCTTTACACAGCTCACTGAAGATGCGGTGCCTCAGAGCACTTTTTCGCACATAGTTCACACATTCCACCACAGTTTTTAATACTTCTGCCATTTTTGGAGGTAAGGTTTTTGTTGCCAACGCATGCCTGTGCAGAATACAATGCGTCACAATGATGTGTGGTGCATCGGCCTTTACTAGCGCACCAAAACCAGACTTTCTTCCCAGCATGACTGGAGCTCCGTCCGTACAAACTGCAGAAACCATATCCCATGAAAGATTGTTGTCTCTGAAGAAGTCATCCACAAGCTTCTTCACATCGGCTGCCTTCGTTGTTGTTGTAAGAGGCTTACAAAATAAAAACTCTTCTTTTATCATGTCGTCTTTCACATAGCGTACAAAAACAGCAAGCTGGCTTAGATCAGAAACGTCTGTGGTTTCGTCGAGTTAAAGGCTGAATTTTGCCGGGCTTGAAATCAGATCCGCGACTACTTGAGCCAAGATGTCTTTACTCATGTCTTCTATTCTGTCACTGACGGTGTCATTTGAAAGGGGAATTTGGGATAATTTACCTTCGGCCGCTGTTCCGAGTATCAGATTCGCCATCTTTAATGCAGCTGGTTTCACAAGTGTTTCACCAATGGTGTGTGGCTTACCCTGCTTTGCGATCAGGTAAGCAACTTCGTACGATGCTGTCAGGATCGGTTTGTTAACAGGTACAAATCCAAGAGCAGGCAGAGTGGCCCTTTCATCGAATCTGGCTCTCTTCACCCTGAATTCAGCAAGTGTTGTGTTCTTGTATTCCCCGTCTCCATGCAGCTTCAAGAAGTGTTCCTTTAGTTTTGCCGGTGCAAGACTAGAGTTGCTCAACTTGGCGTTGCAAATCATGCAGATAGGACGCTCACTCCCATCACGTTCCGTGATACATGAGAATCCATGTTGTACATATTCGTCCGACCACTTTCTTCTTTTGCCCGACATAGTTAGTATGGATAAAATATTAAAGAAATCACACGACGTACGACAACAACAGTCACACGTTGACTACTGAGTACGCACTAAATTCCCCGCAGCGCTGATTGGCCAAGCAGTGTAGCATGATCATCTGCAGCCAGTGATGGCCAAGCGGGCCGTGTGTGTCATCACAAATTTACACAATAATTCAAGTGTGTCCGGACCTCCGTGGCGGGGGCTCTGCCGAACCCCTGAGATCGACTCACCGAACCCCTGGGGTTCGATCGAACCCAGGTTAAGAACCACTGGGCTAGAGTAAGCAACGTGGAAGTTTGTAATAGAATATGGCAGAAAATAATTATAGTTTATATCAGTAAGACGTGGTTGTGATGGGTGGAACACGTGGAGAAGGGATGAGGGCATGTTATCGATCGATACAGGCACAGGAGTGGCACCCAGAGGTCTGCGACCAAGGCTGACAAAAGATCGTAAAAGTGATCCTTGAAGGACATATCACCTACTCTTTGGGTCTTTCGGTAAAGTCACGTAGATAGAAAAATAAAATAAAAAATCACGACGTTTTGATCGTAACACAAGCAATCGTCTTCAGGTGAAAAAATACAGCAGGCGGACTGCTGAGGCAGGAAGAAATCTCCATATATATAAAAGGCAAAGTTGTGAATGTGTGTCTGTTCAAAATGTTTAGCGTACTTCCTGACATGCAACAAACTTTAAATTTACCATGTGGGTACTTTACAGACTGTACACCATGCAAAATGTATAAAAATACACTTTTTTGGGGGGGGGGGAGCTCAATAATGCTTATTATTTTTTGCACGGCAAGTGAGCTGTGACGTCAAATCTGTCATGTGACCCGCGCATGTGGAAGCATAACGCATTGTAGTGTAGTGGTTAGCGCTACGCTGCGCTACGAACCCGGCGACCCGAGTTCGATTCCCGCTCACGGCCACCACCAGTGACGATTATTTCAACCGCTCTTGGGCCTCCCCTAGGTCGACTCAGCCTCAAACGAGTAACTGGTGTGGTGTGTGAACATCGCCACTGGGGAGACAAAGGCGGCCGTGAGTGGTGAATCCAAGTCCCGGGCGAAGCCGGGTAGTACAGCTAGTATAATATATTTCTTCCTGCCTCAGACTGCTGTTGCAGGAATAAACTCTATCTACGTGACTTTACCGAAAGACCCAAAGAGTATGAATTCCTGCAGTCACGAAAGCTTTAAGTCAAGACATATCACCTGTGTGTACGAAGGAGTAGAGAAGAGCTAAAGTCAGAGATGACCATGGTGATGAAACTCTAAAAGTGGTGCTTGGAGGTTGGTCAGGTGTCAACAACAGTTGTGGCAGCTGGCAGAAGGAAAAAATAGCGAGGTGTGGAGGTATCTCCAGCATTGGCCATCGGGACCCCTAATCTATTACAACGAATGAAGACGCTGTGGTTTGGGAAGACAAAACCTACCTGCATAACTGTGCTCTGCTCTATGAGATTAGGTCTTAGGTGGGTTGGCAGTGTATGTAGTTGGGTTCAGATTAAACTTCAGGAACATTCACAATATTTGCCTCCACCAAACATGCAAGAGAGGTGCTAAAAAACAAGGGCAAACGCTCGGACGTGAACTCACATTTTTTAGCACTTGTGTGCATGTGGGTTCAGGTGGGAGCCTTTAAGAGTCCATAAAAATAATCTCTCTTGTTGATGCATACCTGGCTCAAGGGAACTTTTTTTAATGGTTAGTGACAAAATGTTAATTATTAATGAGAACACTTTAGTGACACACGTACACACAAAGCCACAAATCCAGGTCCTCGCACAAAGGCAGATTGGTGCAGCCACAAACTCAGACAAATGCACAAATGTACACAAATGCAAAGACACTCTATACAATATATGGAGAATGTTGGGGCATGTCCTGTTAGCAAGCACCTAAGGCTAGTATGACCCACGAGGCGGTGTGGCCAGCACCAACAACCACGTTTGTCTCCACACTGCATTGGTTTTTTTTACACACCCCACAACATTCTTGATTTGAAGCTTTCGTGACTGCAGGAATCCACACTCTTTGGTTCTTTCGGTAAAGTCACGTAGGTAGAAAATTTTAATTTAAAAAAACTTTCATTTTTTTTTCGGTAAAGTCACCGAAAAAACCAAAGAGTATGGACCCCACAACATGTATTTATTTTAGACGAATTCGACCCAGGGGAGGACCAGGTTCAGATATCATTCACCACTGAGGTGAGCTGTGGCTGGGCAGTGAACTCAGGTCACTTGGTTTGTAGCGCAGTGCCATACTATTCCGCGAAAATGCAGACATACGCAGAAATGCATACACATACACAAATCAGGAACTTGATCAAATGCACAACTGTACCCATGCAGTTTTTACAGAACAAGTGCTCAATTGTACCTTTTTTTTACAAAAATGTCTTGCAAAAGTGTGAAATTACACTCTGGAGTAAAAAACACATTCTTGGGTGATTTTTTTTCCGTGTATTTTACACTACTATAAAGTGTTTTGGTGTTTCTCAACACCTAGACTTACAGAAAAATTGTTTCAAACATACGTATATACAAATATTTTTTTTCGAATTTCATCAT